TATGCCTTTTATTTTGAGAATTAAAGAGGTTTAAAAAGTGATGAAAGTAGGAGTAGTGGCCAGCAAGTTCGTTAGTGGTGGGCAGTGGTTTAGTGAAAATAGTGAGAGTTGTTGGGTAGTTGATATAATGGTGGGTGCCTGCAAAAAAAAATATTAATAGTATTAATAATATAATAATAATAATTATTAATAATAATTATTAATAATAATAATATATATATATATATTAAGCCTGGTCAAAAACGGGTATCTACAACACTTCTTCACCAGCTTCATGTTAGCTTACCGTCATCGAGAAATAAGACCAGACTATTATATAATAAAATGAATAATGTAACAAAATAACCCAAACGTTTGACAACACTGTCAAACTTGCCCGTATTATTTTTTTTTGAACATTTAACTATTGAACGTTTAACTTTAGGTCAAAAATCACCATTGATGGAAACCTTTAGTCAACTAACTGTCAATATCATATGTTAACGGAGCAAGCACACATGGATGTGAAAGCTAACGTGGTATGTTCATGTCGGAGATTATGATGACGTGATTATGCCACATCATAATTTTTAAAAATAAAATAAATAAATTTATGATTAATATTATTTATATTTAATGATTTATGATCAATCAGAGAATGACACATGTCACTTTTTGATTGGTGTTTGTTTAAAACAACTATTAAATGGGGAAACACAAGGGAGGGGAATCAAGCCTGGGTAAAGGTTATAGAATGATACAACCTTTACCATTAGACCAAGCTCCTTATTTAATTAAATAATGAACTAAACGATATTTAATAAATATTCTATTTAAATTTAATGGAAAAGAATTAAAACACTTGTTTAATGAAAATTTGAGATTGGGATTTTCTCTTCTTTTTAATTGTATTTACAAGGGCTGGGGACTTAGGAAGAACTGGATCTGCACATCTAAAAGGGGAAAAAACTTTAGTGTTTAAGTTGTTTACACGGGTTGGATCCGAACTCTTGATTTATCAGAAAAATAGGGTTAGGTTGTTGTTATTGATGGACGAGAGCTGGGAGAGAGCGGTGGAGACGACGCTAGTGGACACACGGACCACACAGCGGCTCGGACCCTGACACTTGACGGTGCGATGAAGTGTGTTCAAGGTCGAATCCCGCCGCCTAGTCTCTTGGAAAAATTTGAGAATCTTGAACACCTTTCCATCGCCAACATAGGGGTTTCATCCCTAGAACAGTTTCCTCGCCTACGAAATATCCAGAAGCTTATCCTTTCTGACAACAGAATAGCTAGTGGACTTGAGTTCCTCTTTGAAGCTGGCCTTGACTCGCTTCGAGATCTCGACTTCTCCAACAGTCGGATTCAATATATTGAGGATCTTGCCCCACTTGCTCAGCTTAAGTTTGTTTCGCTTGACCTTTATTATCAGTGTCCAGTTACCAGAGTTAAGGATTATCGTTCTAGAGTTTTTGGTTTGATTAAATCGTTGAAATATATGGATAAAATGGACGCCGAGGGGAATGAAAGGCCAGAATCGGATGAAAAGGATGAAGAGGAGGAGGATACAGGGAGTGGGGAAATCGATGGAGAGGATCAGCCCAACAGAATGAATAATGGGCATAGTAAAGAAGAGGAAGGAATTACTGATGAGGATGAAGATGATGACAGTGATACTGATGGAGAAGAGACTGAAATAGGTAGAAGAGTAAATGTGCATAACCATGAGGCCAACAGGTTTCATATAGAGCAAGTAGGGAGAGATGATGATGAAGATGACGAGGATGACGATGATGAGAATGTTTCAGATGGAGAAGTTGATGATATTGATGACGATGAAGAGGAAGAAGAAGAAGATGTTGTGGAAGGTCATGAGATTGGGGGTAGCGATGACGAGAGGAAAATATAAACAAGTTTTTTAATTTCTTTCATTAAATTTAAATAGAGTATCTATTAAATATTATTTAATTCATTATTTAACTATAATGAACTAAATAAGGAGTTTGGTTTAGTGGCAAAGGTTGTGTCATTTCATAGTCTTTGTTCAGGTTTGATTCCCCTCCCTCATGTTTTTCTTTTTAATAGTTGCTTTAAATAAACACCAATCAAAGAGTGATACATATGTTTTCCTTTTAATAGTTACTTTAAACAAACATCAATCATAGAGTGTCATTCTCTGTTTGATCATAAGTAATTAAATATAAATAATATTAATAATAAAATTATTTGTTTTATTTTTAAAAATTATGAAGTGGCAAAACTACGTCCTCATGATCTCCGACATGGACATGTCACATTAACTTCCATGTCCATGTGTGTTTGCTCTGTCAACATCTGGCGACCGTCAGTTAATTGATAATTTCTATCCATCAAAGGTGATTTTTGACCCAAAGTTAAATATTTAGTGACCAAATGTAAAAAAAAAAAACAATACGATCAAGTTTGAAATTATTGTCAAACGTTAGGGTTATTTATTGCATTATTACTATATAAAATGTCACTAGATTCTTCTCCCCTGTTAAAACACGTTCCTTTTATGCATTATTTATGGAGGCATTTTGCAGAATAGGTAAAACGATATCCTAATTTTCTGTTCTTGTTATAGTGAATTGATGATCACATTAATTACTTGCTGAACATGTTCTTGAAATCGTATCTTGTATGTCCGTATGAGCTGCTGAACAGATTGTTAGCATTCAATAGGCGGATAAATCGTGATCGGCCAGCCAGAAAGTACGATTGAAGGGGCAAACGTGAGGAATTGGCCGGTAGCCTATGATAAACTAGGAGAGTGAGGTACAGATTATGGAGAAATTCAGTTGAACAAGGATCTAAACGGTTACCGTTCAGCAGACCGATGTAAACTTAACTCTAGCGACAATTTAACATCCCCTCTCGCACTGTTGCCGCCGACTCTTGAACTCTCAAACATGTTTATTAAGGTCTGGCATTAGCTAACTGAAGAAGATAAAAAGAGATTGATTCTGCGGGAACTGTGTATTGATCCGAGACCGGTACGAGTTGGTGTCAACAAAATAAGCCCTTGTAAAAGAAAATAGAAACTGCACTGTTTTTTTTTATTATAGTTTTTGTGTACAGCCAACAGCCCCAGTTTTCATTCTCTTTGGATAACCCTAGACCCTGACTGGAGAAATTGTTTTCATGCCTTTGAAATTAGAAGCCAGTGCCATCCCTAGTTACGGTTATAGCTGATGTTTAATGAAATTTTCTAAGATTTGCATATGACTTCTTTGTTCTTGTTCTTTGATTTATAAGAAAAAAGATCCCAATAAGTAAAGGTAACTTGATCCTTGAATAGTATTTTCGATCATTTCATAATTGTGAATATATTTAATAATATCACTGTCAAAGATAATAAATAGAAATTGTAAATATCAATAATATAAAAAATAGTAATAATATTATATATATATATATACAGTGAATATTAACATTACATTAACTATTGAGAAAATATAAAATTCTAGTATGCCTTGTTCCATAAGGCAAGAAGGTGATTAATTTGACACGTTTTTATCTTATATAATTTTTTAATAAAATTATTTTAATATATTTTAATAATTAAAATATAAATAAATTTAATGAGTGATTTTAATGATGAAATGATTGTTTTTAAATCTCAAATTTAAATATATATACATTTATATGGTGTATATTATCAATAAATTATTTTTAAAAACATATTATTTTTTAATTATATAAATTATTAAAAATTAATAATTTAAATATTATTTTTATAAATTAATTAAAAATGATTATGAAAAATTCTAAACAAATTTTATGATTTGGGATTCGTGATCGAATAGGTTGAGTTAGAAAAAAAGTGGTGGCTAAGGAAGCGAGTAGCGTAAAGTCCATATTCAAAGAGAGTGATTGGTGTCTTGGTGGTGGTGGGCTTATTTTTGGGCTATTTGATATAACTGACATTAATTTTTTCTAATATCCTCTTTCTGACATCGTTTGACCAATATTTCCCGAAGTAGCACCCTTTCGGTTGAGCTGGCGAAAGGCGCGTCCCCGGGGACGCGCTTTACCGTGTTTTCGCTGAGTTGGATGCCACGTGTGGAAGGCGCATCCCCGGGGACACGCCTTCACTGACTCGACTGCCACGTGTGGAAAGCGCATCCTCGGGGACGCGCCTTCCATTAAATGTCATAAATACTCCCATCCGTTTTCCCTAACTACCCCCTCCTCCTCTATATAAACCCCCTCAACCCTCCCTCATTCTTCACACCAAAATCATATTCTTCTCTCTTATGTAACTCAAATTCTCCAACTATTTGAGTTTTAAATTAAACAAATTAAAAGTTATTAAAAAATTTATGTATACGATGACACATTTCATGTTCTGATTGGAGGATTAAATTTATTAAATTAAATTTTCAATAAGACTAATTTCATAAAATATGTAAGTCTTGAAGATTAAATATGTAATTATACTAATTTATTAACTTATGCATCAATATTTTCGTTAAATATTGATATGAGATGACTAGATTGATAACATTTAAATAATTAACTAATAAAATTAATAGATCGATAATCAAAATCAAAAATAATAATATAACTATATGTGTAATATTATAATTTCATACATTTTTCCTATAACTACAATAAAGTCAAAACTAGTTTTCATATATTGTTATATCATATTAATGTAGATTATTCACTCCACCTTTAACACACATTAACAAAATACATTTAATAATTCTTACATTATAATCGAAACACTTTACATAATATATTATTAATTTATAATAATAATAAAAATAAAATATTTATTATTAAATAAAATACGTGACAGTCGAGCTGGCGAAAGGCGCGTCTCCGGGGATGCGTCTTCTACACGTGGTATCCAACTCAGCGAAAACACAGTAAGACGCGTCCTCAGAGACACACTTTTCGTCAACTCAACTAAAAAGGTGCTACTTCGAAAAATATTGATCAAATGGTATCGAAATGAAAGACAAAGGCTAGGTTCTTCTGTTCGACCTCAGAAATTACAGTATAAATATATATAAACTTTTTCCCTTTTTTCTCTTTCAAATATCCCTTCTTATTTTTCTCATTGGTTCTCTATCTATTCACATCAGATAAGGTAAGATTCGAGTACCCAGTCTCTTCCTGTTTCTACTTTTATATTTTTCATTTTTTTGTTCACGGTGAAAAGGTTCGGATTTTTCATCTTCTTTATGTTCGTAGTTTGTTACTAATCAATTTATCGTGTACCCTATTTCTTGTTTTACCTGATTTGTATTTTTATTTTAGTTAAAATCTCTTTATGATTCAGAGATCGTGAGGATTTAGTGTTATGGCTTCCACCATTGTAAATATTCCTTCTACGGTTCCTTCAGTTAAAGGTTTTGAGAATCAAAACTATGTTGGTCTTAGACCAATCTCTAGTTTAAAGTTCAATTCGGCTAGAACTTCAATCTTTGGACGTTCTGGGCCCCTTTTTGTGGCGAGAGCGTGCAAAAAGTTTGATGGATATGTGAAAAAGGCTGAAATGAGTATCGAAGAATGCGAGGCTGCTGTTGTAGCTGGGAATGCACCTGAAGCTCCTCCAGTGCCCCCTAAGCCAGCTGCTCCTGTTGGGACTCCCGTCATTCAACCTTATGTGAGTGTTTAAAATGAAATAATGATGCCTTTTATCTTCTGCCCTTCTTTTATAATACTTGTTTATTATGTTAATGTGCAAGTTCCTAATGTAAAATGAATTTGTGATAAATTGGTTGTGTTTGAGTAGTTTTGGAGTGTTATCGGCAAGCTTTTGGTCTATTGAATGGTGGTGACTTTTTAGATTTTTAGTATGTGTTTGAAACTTCACGGCTTTGGTTTTCTTGTTTTGTGAATTGGATTTAATTAATAATCAATTGTTCGCTACATCTAGTCAATTCATGAAATTAAATAAAACAATTCAAGTTATAAATTTTGTTTTGCTGCCAACTGGTGCACTTTTCCTTTCTTCTTTTCTCATTTGGTGTTTGTTTGTATTAGCAACTTACCAGGCGCCCTCGTCGTAACCGCAAGTCCCCTGCATTGAGAGCATCATTCCAGGAAACAAGTATATCTCCAGCAAATTTTGTATATCCACTTTTTATTCATGAAGGTTGGTATTCATTGGATATTAATGTTTTTCGTTTTTGGTGACAATATGGAACTGATAAGTTAAATATTAAAAGAGGAGCTATTATATCAAAGATCGTGGTGATAAGCACCCACAAATCATAAATGTAAAAATTAATATTTTCTTGTTTCATTTTTGTGACTTTTGTGATACTTTTCTCGCTTTCTTTCCTTCCTGTATGTGCTCGCATCTAGTTGGTACTGTTCCCTCAACCTGCAGGTCAGGAGGACACACCCATTGGAGCTATGCCAGGATGTTATAGGCTTGGATGGAGACATGGACTTGTTGAAGAGGTGGTCTTTTGATTATGCATCATTTTCGTAAACAATTTGCATTCGCCTCAGAGCTAGAGCTCAAGTGTTGCATGTCTTGTTCTTATGACTTATCTCTTCATATAACTCTGATAAATATTCTATTGATTACTGAAGTTAAAAACGTAAACAAGTATGTTACATACTTATGTGTCAATTGTAAAGTTATTTTGACGTGCACATTATATATTGCAGGTGGCGAGGGCCCGGGATGTTGGCGTTAATAGTATTGTGCTCTTCCCCAAAGTTCCAGATGCGCTAAAGGTTTTGATTCTCACACTAAGATCCTTTTTGTTTTGTTTCATATGTTGATGCATGTAATTTTTTCCGGTACTTTAGTGTCCGACAGGAGACGAAGCCTACAATGACAATGGTTTAGTACCTCGAACAATTCGTCTGCTTAAGGACAAATTTCCTGACCTTGTAAGTCAATGAAGTTGGTTCTCTTATTTGTATTTTGTTTAGTGCTTGCGGCCTTATAAATTGAATCATGATGATCACTTATTGCTTCATTAGGTTATCTATACGGATGTTGCTTTAGATCCATATTCCTCAGATGGTCATGATGGTATCGTCAGAGAAGATGGTAAGATATACTTCATACATCTTTGGCTGCTAAATTGGAGTATTTTATGCAAAAGATATTATTCAAATACAAATGCAAAAAAAGCCTAATTAATCAGTAAAGGGTTCAATTGAATATATGATCATATACCAGAAAGCATGTGTTTGTCTTCCTGATCTGTTTCTTGATCTGCCACGTTGCCATGCAAGTTAACTTAGAAGAGTGATACATGTGTTGTTAAGAAATTCGTAATTGGTCAAAATATAAAATGTTCACATAAATATATTAAGCTTTGCATTGTGATGTGCATAGAAGTACCAATTACTATGTCTTTCTTTTACCTGTAGGAGTTATAATGAATGATGAGACGGTGCATCAATTATGCAAGCAAGCTGTGTCCCAGGTAATATTTTTAGATTGTGTTGATGAAATACTTAAACCTAGTAAGAAATCTAATGTATTCTTTAGAATTCTAAATGCAATAATGGTGATTGCTTACTGCTCTTGTGGTGTGTTTGTTGTGGCCACTTATGTCTCATACAAAAATTTTCTATTATCTTCTTTGCTTTTGTGATTTTCTGTTCTCCCCTACTACTACCAATGGGTCTTGATACTTATCTAAGTCATAAATTTTATTAATACTTTAATTCGAGGAAATAGTGTTTCAAGTGCTTAAAGAAAGCAAAATTTTGCTGCTAGCTTCAGTCAGTATCACTAGGTCTTGATACGTATCCCAGACATAACATCTTAGTGATATTTTAATTTGAAGAAATAGTGTTTCAAATACTTAAAGAAAGTAAATTTGTTGTTACAGCTTTAAATGGCTAATAAGTGTAATACTTGGAGTTTACTAATCATGAATGGATATTGGAGGTCTCTTATGCTTATTTTATGTCCTTTTCTTTTTCTGCTTGGTTTAACTTGATTTGTCTTTTTTGGTGGTGTATTCTTACAGGCCCGAGCTGGAGCTGATGTTGTCAGTCCCAGCGATATGATGGATGGACGTGTGGGAGCTATTCGTGCTGCCCTTGACTCTGAAGGCTTCCACCATGTTTCTATCATGTCCTATACTGCAAAGTAATCTGACTATTCCCCCTTGCAATCCTGCAGTTGTCTGTTTGTAGCTATATCAGTTTTTTAAAGTAGGTTTCTTTGAAGCATGGTAATGGATCTCTGAGTATGTTAACCCATTGCATAGTTTTTACTATCTTTATTATTTTCCCATTATCATAGTAAAAAAGCTCTGAAACAAGTAGAATGGTGTTATGCTGTTGGCTTGCTCAAAAGCAATAGTCCTTTTCGTGTTGCTATCTAATTGCACAAGATATTATGAGTGATCCCATGCTTTGGTCATTAAACATTTTGCACAAATAAACTGTGTTGACAGAGATTATTCACAGTTATGCTTCACTGCCTGTGTGAAATTTGTTGTTTGTCATTTGTTGGCTTAACAGATATGCAAGTTCATTTTATGGTCCTTTTCGAGAAGCACTGGACTCTAATCCAAGATTTGGAGACAAAAAAACGTATGATTTTACTTACACATTGTATTTTTTGCATTTTTTATGGGATTTTTTTGTGCTTAAATTTGATTGTTGATCTCGGTTGTTAAAAACAGGTATCAGATGAACCCTGCAAATTATAGAGAAGCACTAGTTGAAGCTCATGAAGATGAGGCTGAAGGAGCTGACATTCTTTTGGTCAGTATGACTTTTCTCAATGAATTTTGAGTTCGTTTTGTTAATGCCTAAGCTTCCATCATGCTGAAGTCTATCTAACTGGATCATAGGTCAAACCCGGTCTCCCTTATTTGGATATCATAAGACTGCTCAGGAATCAATCTCCTTTGCCTATTGCTGCATACCAGGTATTCTCCTTAACTTTTCCCGTCTCCTAAATTAACTAATGTTAATTTTTTATTTTATATTCTTCACTTTCCTGCCTCAATCAATTTTTTTTCCAGGTTTCTGGCGAATACTCCATTATCAAGGCTGGTGGTGTTCTCAAAATGATTGATGAAGAAAGGGTCATGATGGAATCCTTGATGTGCCTACGCCGGGCCGGTGCCGACATTATCCTTACATATTTCGCTCTACAAGCTGCAAGGTGTTTATGTGGTGAGAAGAAGTTAACTTAGTCTGTTTTTCCTTTTACGAGGCATTGGTTGATTCTGCAATAAAAGCTCAAGACTCTAAACCTTCCATTTGAGAATGCTAGATGTTAGAACGAGCCGGAGTTGTTGTAGAATGCTCAACTTAGAAGTTTGTAGTCCATGCCCCCATAGAACCTCGAGTAAATAAAATTAGAACACCATCGAGGTATATTGAATCTAAAATAAATTGAATTTTGGGATGATAATAATCCGTGTTTTGTTCTTTGTGAAACCTAGATGCATATCAAAACTAGAAATAGCCTTGATTGAAGTGTAGTTGTGATGATGTGTTTAGCTACTGAGAATACTTGTATAGACCCCCAAGGTCTCGTTCATTACGCGGATGTAGTAGAAAGCTGCCAGAATGATCTGAGAATAAACAAGAAGTCCTCGCCCCCATCATTGGCGGAACCACCGTGAAATTTTGTGGTCCTAGTAAATCAGTGGCTACCTTTTTACATGTTCATACATACGATCATCATTGACTGTTAGGGGATAGATTGTTGAGTCGTTTTTGAAGAAATCAACGGTTGCAGAACATCTGAAAACAAGTGGGGAAACATGGTTGAATTAGGCTTAGAATTTGAACTAAAAGCTCGTAAAAAGGTTGTAAAAGCTGGCATTGGAGAAAGCCCCGAAAGTGTATCCAATTACAACCGTGAGTTCAATGGATTTGATTCACGAGAAACGATTCCATGTAAGCTAATAACAGCAGCTGAAGCAAGCTAAGATGGGGTCAAGTGAGTGAGGGTTGCGCCGAGGCCTTGTCTTCAGCTGATAAAGTCTCAAAAGAAACCACAACCGATAGTGCAAAAATAGCCTCCATGTTTTCCAATGCACCGTCCCTGATCATCCGTTTAGCACCATTTCCGGCTTCCTCTGGTGGCTGAAACAGCAGTATAACAGTTCCCTGTGACACAATGGAATGGCCATATCATTCATAACTTTGTCATTGCTTGGAAGTTATTATCAACACACTGAGCTTTGAGATTTAATTTAAATTATCATTGGATTAACAAACAAGGAATTATTCAATCCAAGGCTTTACAAGCAAGACAAAATAATGCAATTTGACAATATTCCAAGCTAGGGTCGTGCACTCATATGCAAGTATTATATGTATTTTTCTATTAAAATGATTTTATACAAAAATATTTGATAGATTTGAAATTCAGAACTCAAGCTACGTTCAAAATTAGAAACCTAAATTTCATTTTTTTGGGAGATGGAAAATTGAGATTAGAAGATCAATTAACTAGTGAGTAGTGACTAGCCTAGCACTAGCAGCAAAGTATTCCAACAAAAAAAAATTACATGTTTCCCGGGATATGGAGAGAAATCGCAACTAGAGCAGTTTCAAACTGTACAAGTAATCTTAATGGTTCCAACTCAACTTAATTCTCCACATTCATAAAAAAAAATCTAAAACCAAACATACGACAGCCTATGAACATGATGTGTTCATACATGGCTTGCATATCATCATTCGTGTCTTGGACAATGGAGGAAAAAAAGTGGTTCACTCTCTCCTTTAAACAATTCAAATCATTTATCACAAACTAATTCTCTGTTATATTTTCTTATATTGAATAGGAAATGGGATGTGAATAAGCAAAATGAAAATTAAGTAAAGGAAAAAAGTAAAGGAAAAGGTAATTAAGGCTGGTCTAATTCATTCCATAATGCAGCAAAAACTGTCATTTATTGCCTGCACATGGCCCAGGTGGAGGCGGGGATTTTACCTTTGCAAACCAATCCTTTTTCTCGGGATGTCTAAAGAAACACAGCCTAATATAAAGCTAAGAAAATACGTTACATGAAATGTTAATATTTTTTTAATATTTTCGGTAGAGTACTGCTTAAAATGTTATTTTTTTTACAAGAAATGTTAATATCGGATACTGCCTAAAATATTATTTTTTTCTACCGAAAATGTAAATATAGAAAATATTCATTTAGGTAGCGAAATTAATATTTTCGGTAGAAAAAATAACATTTTAAGTAGCGCTCTACCGAAAATATTACGAAAATATTAAAAAATATTAATATTTCTAGTAATTTATTTCCTTAGTCTTATATTATGTTGTGGTACAATAGAACTACCCCTTTTACTCTCTCTCTCTCTCTCTCAACCAACGTTGTCCACAAAAATTAAACCCATTATTAGAAAATGAAAACAACAAGCAGCAGTCTCATTTTTATTTTTTTATATTAAACAAATGATATTTAAAAAATTAAGGAAAAAAATCTATAGGAATTAAAGTTTCAAATTTCAAATTTATTGGTTAGCATTCTTTTAAAAAATACATTTAATATATTGGTATATTTTGTATACATATGATCTTACCTACTATCAATAAAATAAGGGTAAAGTATATAAATAGTCTCCAAACTTTTAAGACACTTGTATTTTACTCGCTTAACTTTTAAAACTTGCAATATAATCATCTAACTTTTAGGGGCACTTGTATTTTGGTCACCTAACTTTTAATCGTTTGCATTAAGGTCTCTGTAGTAACCATTTACTGATGAGGCACTTAATTGTCGTTAACTCCCCTCCCCCTTCTTCTTCTTCGTTTTCTTCTTCTCTCATTCACCCCACCTCCGGTCAGTAGTGGGTCACACCGCCATCACCATCGTTATCGGCGTTGCCTCCCAACCACACCTATCCCTCGATTCATATTCACCATCCACCGTTTATCCCAAATCGCGAGAAAAAATCCCGGATCTCCGTCGCCAGTGTCTGGTGATCGTGACCGTTGGTACCAGTAGGAGTGTCGCCCTATTCCGACCAAAACCTCACTAGGCACTTGCCAAGACTCACCTTCGTTTGCCATGGAGAGGGCCCCTAATCTTGTCGAAAAACCCCAAATCTCCTTTTCTACTTTGATCGATTTCCGACTGATAGGTTCGTCACACTGCCACACCGTTGAAGTCCTTACACTGTTTCGAACAAAACCCAATCGGTTGTGACTCCTCGTTGTCGTCCCTTCTCTGTAGAGGTGAAGAAGAAGAAGGCGGATGAGGAGGAGGAGAAGGGGGTTAACAACGGTTAAGTGCCATGTCAGCAAAACCTACGGGAGAGTACGACAGGGATCTTACTGAAAACGATTAAAAGTTCGATGGTTGTATTGAAGTTTTAAAAGTTGGATGACCAAAATGCAAGTGCCTTAAAAGTTCAGGGACTATTTATATATTTTACCTATAAAATAAATTAAAAATATTTTTTACTTTATTTTTAATAATATTATATCATTTAATTTATTAAATAATACATAAAATTATACACGAAAAAATTATCCTTTCTCACCTATAAAACTAAATTTATTGCGTTATAACTTTACCTTAATCAAGATCTGATGTAAACGGAGAAATTACAAATGCAAATCCATTGCACTATGGTGAATATGTATGCACATTAAACGACCCACTTATGCAGATTGCAAATAGAAAGAAAGGCCTAACCTCGAAAAGGTGTTCTAGATATTTTAGCAGCACCAGATGGGCCACATGAGCATCGTGCCCACAGGCATGCATTTTTCCTGTAACTTTGCTTTTATGCTCCCATTCTACACCTTCCTAAAATAAAATTACCTCACCATAAGTGAATAAATTCAACCCAAAAACAAAATCAAACATTGCCTAATATTCTATGCAAGTCTAAGAAATGGGTTAAAAATAAAGTTTATTCATAGTCTTGAAGTTTGAATATTTTGTAAACATCAAATTTAATTTATTTCGTGATCTCTTGTCATTACACCAGGACAATCTATTTTAAAAACAAAATTTTTATAATATTCATACTTATTTAAAATTATATGTTATTTTAATACGGTTGGTTAGGAAACCTAAAAAACCCTAAATTCATGTAGGATACGAAAATCTTCAAAAGAAAAATATCTCAAAGTTTCTTTCACCTGAGTAGAACACCCTTATATTCTAATCTTAAAATCCAACACGTTTCTTCATCTCCAGTCCCTTAAATTCCCTTAGGGAAGTTGTTTGATTCCAACTTTGTAACAAAATTCAAAACCCTCAGGATTTCCAAGCCAAAAAAAGACGATTTATATCTAAAAAAATGAACCACCTAACCATTTTGTTCTTACATATAAAGTAGCACCTACATTGTACCTTAACACATAAGTACATATACTTTCCTAAAATGGTATAGCAGCCGTATTTACATATATATAATACATACAAGTATACGTACGTATATGTATACATGTATAGTGGCAAAGAAAGAAGAAAAAACAGCTATTTACCTGTATCTGACGAGCATCCATGTCAACTGGGATGGAAACAGAAGGCGGGCCTCCGGTTCCGGTCCAAGCCCGAATAATCATTTCGGCCTAAGGATATCTATCAGGTCCAGTTCGGTTCGAACCAGCTTACTCTTTTTGTAGTCTTCAAAAGCGAGCTCGGGGGTTCTCATGTATCTTCCTCCTCGACCCTTTATTCCAATCTACGTTATCGGGCTTCGAGCCAGGTCCAGAACTGCTTCGGAGCAGTCCACGTTGTCGAAACGATTTTTTCTTCAAAAGTGAAAATGTGAGATTTTGAAAATCATATTAATTTTTAACTTATTTTGTTCAATTGATTTTTAATTTAAAAACAAATGCGATTTAAAAGACCTCGTTTCGAAAAATTTTGGTTTTTCTTTACAATAAAAAAATTGTTCAAAGAGTCGCCACCAATCTTTAGTTAAGGTGTGATTAGGCACCCAAAAATGTTTGTTATTTTAAATAAAAATAAATTTTAATTAAAACAACAAATTAAGGTCTGCGTTACCAAAATCTGAGTTCGGGAGTCGGTTACGTGCGAGGAAGGATTAGCACCCCCACAACGCCCTAAAACGGTACCTAGTCGATTAATTAATGTCTTTGCAATGAACTTTACAAATTCTAATTTAATTTGATTTTTGATCCCATAAAACAAAGATGTAAATTTAAAAACATTCAAAAGCACTCAAAATAATTAAATTAAAATTACCAAATCGTTTTAGAAAGATAAAGAATGTTCGATTATTTACAAATATCGAGACTAGATTTTAAAAGTTATAACAACCTTTTCTCGATAAATTTAAATAAACGGACATTTCCTTTTCTTTCATTTCCAAATTTTAGAGTGATGGATCAATTTTTTTGTTTCACTTTCGGGATACACTTTTAATTTAAAATAGTCAAAACGGCCCTCTAATCAGTTA